TACCTGAGGCATTTGCTTACCCCGAGATTATACAAAATCCCAATATATTGGTAATTTCGATGGCGCAATTAGAAGCTATTTTGAAAAATGAAATGGAAATGGAAAAAAACAAAGATCAATGTGCTCTGGTAGATCCAGTACTTGAGTTGCAGCCAGAAAACACAAAGAAAATTAATACTATGCCTTGTACAAATAAAAACAAGCCGCTTATTGAGCCGAAAAGCGTAAAAGTTAAAGAAGCGCCATTGAATCCACCAGTGCCGCCACCTAAATGTTCACATGTCGAGTCAAATTTGGCTTCCGATATTAATGCTGCAACGTTGGCAGTATTAAATCAAATGTTGTGGTTACCATATTTTGGGCAGTTATCGCAGGAGTTTCTCAAGACATTAAAGAATCCTCTATCCGTACAAAACAAATATGCGAGCATACTGCCACCACTATACAATCACCATCTTGGCCTGCAACATTTAGATGAAATGTACAAGAATTACGTTAAGCAGATGACGGCCTTAAAGCACATCAGTGCTGCAGAGACACCTGTTAACAATGCGTTGCCAAATTTTACACTGCCACTAGGCGCATTCCAGCCCACTATGGAGACGACGGTCTTTCAGAAAATGTTGCAACATCAAATGGCTAACTTTTTGAATATAAATCCTTTGGCTACATCTGAGAACGTAACCATGCAAACGCCAATACACAGAGGCGTTGTTGGAAAGAGTCCAGCACACGAAGGAAATGTAAATGTTGATCATATGCTTGGCGTTGAAGAAAAGAAGGCCAAAAGTAACACGACCACAACGACGACAACAGCAAATACTACTCCTGACATTGGCGCCATAGTCGCTGGTGTTGCGGAGAAGTCACTTAGGCACAATAACAATAATGCGCCATTAAGTTGTGATATCGCGATGCCTGAAAGTGTAAATTATAATAAATACGCCTATATGCAAAAACAAGAAATTGATAACAAGCCACGTTTAACGTGCAAATCTCTTTCAAATTTATTAGAGCCGGAAAGTGTGCCGTCGTCGCCGGCGGTTCCAGTGGTCAATCTTACCACAGATCACATACGCAATGCGTCACATGAACACACTACAAATAGCCAAATTAACACAATCATCAATAAGGATACAACCATCACGGTTGCGCCAGCGACTGCGGAGGTAATGTCTTTCAAAACTGCAAAACTGAATAAAGTCTCGAGTGCATGTTTGAATGCCACACATGAGCTGGCTAAACAGAGAAAACGCGTTATGAACTATACTGATACGGCGGTGGCATCTACGCCTGCTGTTACTACAGCAACAACAGCATCTTTAGAGAGCCAAACGTCGAGTCGAAACATTGTGTCCGACAACATTAATGTAGAGACCAATCAGGCATTGTGGCATCCACTGTTTGGAAGGTAAGATGTAAATGAAAATTTTGAGGTATACATTTGGAATACATAAATCAGTTCTATAAATTGTTAACAGTTTTAAAACGTTTTATAATCTACATAATTTCAGTAATGTAAAACCTGGCTACAGCAGTCCCTGGCAATGGACCACTGTAACGGCAACGGGTGAATGACATTCAAGGGGTCTCAAGGGACCCAACAGTTATGAAAATGAACTTAATGAGTTCTTTAATACCTCTAATAATGTGCATTATGCTGCTGCCAAAGCACACAGCGCCCACACCAATCATAATCATAACAGCGGTAACAGCAACAACAACAACAGCAATACCAGCAGCAGTTGCAATGCGAAATCTAACGGTGGCAACAATAACAACCCAATCAGGAATAATGTTAGAACATGCATGACCACCAACACAACACATAACCCCATAGATGCTAGCGGCAGCGGCGGAGGTATCGGCAGCAGCAGTAACAGTAGTGGTAGTTGTAACAACAGTGGCAATAACAGTTATCAACACAGTTTACAGCAACAAACAACAGCGGCCGCGGCGGCAGCAGCTGTGGCAACGACGCGCGACCAAATAAACGGTTATGCAAGCTTCAAGGAACCCGAACGCTTTATAGAGCATAATTTTTGGCAAACACAAAAGCAGGCTGCTGCTGCCGCAGCCGTCGCTGCCACGCATGCGACCAATCAATGGTCACTTAATAATAATCGCAATTATATGAGTAATCTATCGCAAATCTCATATTCGAATAACAGTCAACCGAACCAAAGTTCATCGCCGTATGTGCAATTCAATCCCTACATGAACATGAATTTAAATATGAACATGAATCAGCGTTCATTTTTAAATAGCGCGCAAACAACGGATAAAAATGCAATGCATTTAAATCATTTCGATAAGCATAATATGCGTTTTGGGGAATACGACTGTACATTGCGCTAAACAAAAAATACATACATATATGCTAAGCAATGAAAAAAAGCCGAACATCTCGTAACAATTAAAATAGGAGGTATAAGAAACCCATACACACCCACATACAAATAATAAATATATCATTGTACTGTTGCGCAATGTACATGTTGAATATAACCTAATATGTAAGCATTCAAACATACAACCATATACACTTAACATAATATACATAATTGCATACCCATTAGATACAAGTATAATATGTGGTATTTAAGTTGAGCGTAAATATCGAGATGTCTGCCAGCACATCATTGAGGAAATGTGTCCTGGAATTACACAATATACTAGAATATTTTGTTAGGCCTATTAATGTTCTTAAAAAGTAAACAAACATATTTATGTGAACTTGATTAGTGAATTTGTTATCAGTAGTTTGTTACACCATATTGTTAATCGAAATCTATCATGATGCGTTAATATATAATGTATATAGAGTTTTTTTTTTATCTAGATGTATTATCCTTTTTTAATAAAAAGCAACAAATGACTATGGTGACTATGTAAATTATTTTATGAGTACTTCTCTGATGATTTATTGATATTCTATATACTTATAAAATGCATATGTGGTCTGTTAAATTTATATAGCCAATAGGGACAGGCAAAATAAGTGAAAAAACAAATAAAAATATTATTAAATTAAATAACACAATAAACCCCACAATGATTACTTTCCGTTAAAATTGTGTTCTAGTTATAAAAACATTTTCAAACAAGTAAGGAAGGGCTAAGTTCGGGTGCAATCGAACATTTTATACTCTTACAACTTGCAAGAATTAAAGCCAGGGAAATACCTTAAAATGTAAAACGTCAACCAGAGGAAAGGAATGTCAATTTTATATATATGTACATATACATATACATATATAGCTCATACACTGTCCGAAAAATTCAGCATAAGGTTTGTTAGAAAAACGAAAATCCTTATAAGTGGCATTTGGGAGTTGGGGTAGTATCGACTCGATTTTATCCAATAACTGTTATCATGCCACATACCAAATTATAGTATTCTGTCTGACTTTCAATTGTATTATATATCTCACACATCGAAAGATATTTTCGGTCAAAAGTCAACTATAGATGGTTTAATTTCGACCTTTTTTTAGCCAAAAGGTGGCAATCTTTAAGTGAGTTATTACTTCAAAAATTTGTTCCGCTTTATTAATTACTTCTTGATTTGTGTGCTGGAAAGTGAAAGAATCAAACGGAATTTTAAATTGTGTTATATAGGAAGTGGTTGTATTCAGATTTCGTCCATTTTCACGAGCGGTGTTATCTTCCGATTTCATCCATTTTCACACTGTCGTTAGGAGTTCGATGTTAGCAAATTTGGTTGCTATAGCTTTAGTGGTTTAGGAGATATGTACATTAAACAAATTAGAGGGCGGGACCACGTGTTCCTTCCCACTGCGATCTTCTCTGCCAAATTACATTTACATATGTACATATGTATCTTAATTTAGTAGTTAATTATGGCATTTTAAAGGTTTGCGGTTAATGGCATATCGTGGCCACATCTACAAATTAATAATTTTTTTTTTGTACTAAGGTACCACATACCAAGTTTAATAAAGATATCTCAAATTTTACTTAAGTTTCAGCTTGCACGGACGAACGGACACCCAGTCATCCGGAATTTAAATTTTCTCGTAATTCTTATGATTTTTGTCTTTATAACCCTATATCTACCTCCCTTAGTTTTAGGGGAACGTACAACAAAACTATGTATAATACTCTGTAGCAACTGGTTGCAAGAGCATAAACATTATATTTCGACATTTAACTCTTTTAATATCTCGCAATATTTTAATCGAACATGTTGTTATATATGTAGATAAAATACATTTCTGAAATAATTGGAATAATGTTGTCGAGTTGGCAGTCTTTGCTCGAATAAAAATCCGGGTCCGTTCCAGTTGCATAGACCCCACTGTCGTTGGAATAGGTAGTTTCATAATCGCATTACTTTATCATTCATTAGCGAACAATATAATATTTTGCATCCTCCAAAATATGTTTTCCGCATTATAAAAACAATAACATAGTTCTCTTTCCTTAAAGTAAATTCTTGTAGATCTGGTTTTATTATTAATTTTGTTTAGGATAACCTGTTGTGTGAGTATGCAAATTCAATAATAAACTAATCAGTTATAAAATGGTCATCTGGGGATCAGGTGATTAATATGAGTATTATTAAGTACAAAAACGTATTCGTAAATAAATATGCAGATTTTTTGTTCATTGACAACTCATAGCAGGCATTTTTAATATAATTTCATCAATTCCTATATAAAAAATACTTTAGAATTTATGTTCAATTGTTTACGCATTTCTGTGCAATACGGCAAACTTGTTGGTGTTTTCGCCCGGAAACATATATTCATTGCATACTTTTGCGAGACGCTCATTTAGAATACTGACACTGTTTCGAAAGCTCATTTCCGTTAATAATGCGAAATATCTTTTTATCAGTTCGAAATTATTAAGCAACAAAATAAAAGGAGGTATTTAAAAAAATGGTAATATATAAAAAATAGTACGCAAATATGGTATCACTTGCGATTTTATTTTAATTGATTAATACGCAGGCGCCGTTGAAATATCTTCATTCAATGACAGGCAATCAGCGAATTTTCACATCGACAAAGAAAATATATATTTTTGCTAAAAACCAACAGCTATGCTGCATCATCAATTCTGGATAACAAAAAAAACGGTGCAGCGTAAACTTGGCACCAAGGAAGATGCACACATTATCTCATCTGATGCTGATCTCGATGCAAAGATTGAAGTTTACAAGTCAATAGCAAGCACCAGCTTCGAATTGGGAAAAATCATTGACCAGCTGCAAGAAAGACTGTGCATACTGTCGCAGGAGGAGTGTGTTTTTGGGCGGTTCCTTAAAGAAGCTGGGAAACGTAGCAAAACCACTGGCCAAAGCATAACAAATACGGGCAAAGCAGTTTCATACAGTGGGCAACAGCGTATGTGTGTTCGCGTGCCATTGCTAAGACTGCATCATGAAGTGGAAGTATTTCGCAGCAGAGCTGTTTGCGACACCCAGGTGTGATAGGAATTATGATAGTGGATACATTAAAATTACTTGAGTAATGCTTTTATTTGCAATTTTACGGCAGGCGACGCTCCAGATTATGGAAAAAGAACGCACTGAATATCGTGCTGCGCTTTCGTGGATGAAGTCAGCCAGCACGGAATTAGATCCAGACACCGGTAAAGGTCTAGACAAGTTTCGCACAGCACAGACCCATGTGCGTACAGCTAAGCGTAACTTCGATAGTCTCTCGATGGATTCGATTCAAAAAGTATGAAATAAATATATGGTATTTGTTAGCATGCATTTTTATTACACACTATTTTTCTAGATTGATTTGCTGGCTGCGGCTAGATGCAATATGTATTCACACGCATTGGTTTCATACATGAGCGAATTAAAGGAGTTTGCCCAAAAGACGTCCAGCACATTCGAGACAATATCAAAGTCTTTGCTACAGAAACCTAAATATGATTTTTGTGTACTCAAGGAGTTGACACAAAACGAAGGCAGGGTCGATGCAGACAAGATTGATGACATCGTAGCGTTGGATAAAGATCAATCATTATTTTTTGAAGTATAAACAAATATTCAAATGTACATTTTTGAGAAGTGAGCACTTATATTCATTTCGATTTCTATTACAGAGTGAATACAGCGATGAAAAAGATAGTACAAGTCAAACCCAAGCAAATAACACTGATATATTGGACACGGCTGTGACGAACGACAATACGCTCATTGAACTTGGAACAGCAAATGCTGATGATGAGCTTTTAATACCAACCGATACTATTGACTACAATAACGCAGTTACACAACAAAGTATATGGTCTGGCCTATGGCCACTTGGTCATTCCATAGGTCACAGCAACAATAATGTTAAATCAATGACAAACGAGAAAACTATTTTGGATTTAACGCAACACAATTTGAAAATGAATGAAAATATAATCGACGATTCTGTCTCAAAAACAGCGAAATCAAGTAATTGGATGGATCTTTTCGCAGAATTAGATCCTTTAGCTAATCCAGAGGCATTTGATTTGAAGCTAAGCGGTGGTCGTTTGAATGCGCAACAAATTTAAGTTCATTTACATAGCACATTTAATAGTACATTCAAATATAAAAATATGTTTGTATAGTATATTGTCACAAGAACGGAATGACTTCAAAAGTAAGCTTTTTGCTTACTTTAATTTTTGTTAAAGAATGTAAAATGACTAGAACAAATATTATTTTCCAAAATTTATGCCCTAAACAGGGTATATTAAGTTTGCCACGGGGTTGGCTACACCCATAAAAATTCAGGAGACCCTATAAAGTAAAGATTTAATTGATCCGTCTGAAATTTTACACACGTCATTTTCTCTCGAAGAAGCTGTTCGTTTGTTGGAACACCTATAGCATTTAGCTGCCGTACAAACTGATTGATCAAAATCAATTTCGAATGTAAGGAATTTTGACAATGTCTCCTTCACGAAATTTAAAACAGATTATTATTCAAAGCATCGCCCCATTCTGCGGAAAAATTAAATCGTCCATAAAAACTAGCCCTTCAAACTTAAGTTCTTGTATGGAATATTACATTTATTTGCGGTATTTTCACAAAATTTCGCATGGGTTTTCACAAAAGGTATGACTTTAATCTCCTAATTATCTGACCGATAAAATTCAAGATTTTTTATACTCATTTATTCTATAAAAAATGCATTTGGGAGGGCTATCTTAGGTTAATGCTTTTCCTTATTTAAACTGTTTTTTTTTTCATTTACCTATCGCCGCAAAGAGTTTGTTCAATATAATGCATACTAGTAAATGAAGCATTTATCAGCTTTTACATTTTGTCATTCCACATTTATAATACATGCGTACACTAAGTTTTAGATAATGCGCTAGCAGAAACAAATTTAGTAAATTAAAAATTGTATTGGCTGTCAGTAAGCAGTTATATTTTATTGTAAGCGACATTAACACTTCATATTTTACTAGTGTTATATTGTCGCCATTTAAAGTACATGTATAATGCGCATTAATCATATTACTATTTCTCTATATATGATTTAACGTGTTTATTTGAATTATATTACATAAAATCCATTTAAAGGGACAAATAAATAATCATTTTTATGTGTATATGATTTAATCATTTGACCGATTGTTGGGCCTCTTTTTTTGAATTCACCAATTCCACAAGTTCTTTGACACGACGCAAACAATCTTTCTTGGTTCTATTCGGTATGCATTCAGCTATTCTCTCCCAGCGATCAGGTGTTGAGATTGGATAAGTTTTAATGGCTTGTTCTAGCAGCGCCTGCTCCTCTTTTGTCCACGTTTTTGGTACGGTTGTTGACTTGTTCGATACCTTGTTAGCAGTTTTATCATTATCACTCGGCTCTTTGTTACCATTTGTACTTACATTGGCCTCTACATTGTTAACATTATTCACAACTGGTTGATTGACTGTGATATCATTGCAAGTCTGTACATCCTTTTTGGATTTATTGAAATTTTCGAATGCAGTATCATTTGCTTGTGTTTTAAGAGAACTTTTTGAGAAGTCACTATTTTGCATAGCTTTTGCTTTATTGAGAACATCACGCGCGGTCACTGTCACACCAGCGGTGGAGTGTTGGTTTATAAAAGCAGCGATCACATCCCAACGCTGTGATGTGCCAGCTGGAAACAAATTGACAGATTTTATCAGTAGTTGCATATTTTCATTGTTCCAAACATCATTCTTCTTCACTTCTTTCTCATTCTTAGTCACTTTCTTTTGCTGTGTTTGATTGAGCTCTTCCAGTTCGGCGGCTATTTTCTTTTCAACCGTTTTCAATGCAACAAAAAAAGCATTTTGGCCCTTCTTTTCAATATCTTTGTTAAGTTCCTGCAATTCAGTTAAATTGAACATCTCACAAATCTTTTCCACACCTTCCATATTTTTAAGTGTCTCTTTATCATTGTTTCCATAGTATTTGGCTTCTTTTAATCTGTCGCGCAATGTCTTTCTTTCCTTTTTCAGAACCTTCTTCATTTGTTCCTTCTCGATGCGTATTTGCTCGATTCGTTTTTGTTCAGCTTTTTCAGCACGCTCCTTCGCCAACTGTGCTTCCCGTAGCGCACGCTCTTGTTCGGCCTTTTGTGCCTGTGCAGCGTCCATTTTGGCTCGTTTAGCAGCCAATTTTTTTTCTTTCTCCTCATTTTTAAACTTTTGTATACGTTTATCATTATTGTAAGCTAAATCGACTAATGCACGTATACGCATCATTTCTTCCTTTTTTCTTTTTATACGTAGCGCTTTATTTTCCTTTTCAATCCAACGTCTTTCATCTCGATCTTGACCTTTTTCTTTGTCTTCTTCATCCAGATAACTGAATTCCCGCCAAGACTTAAAGTCGTACCAAAAGCTATAGAACTCTTCCACGTGTTCACGTTTCGAATTTTCATCGCCGAATTTTGGCACATTTTTCTTTTCACTCCAACGCGCATTTAAGTCAAAACATTTATTAAAACATTCGTAAATGTTTTTATCAATCTCTGCTTGAGTCGGAAAAGAGTCATCAAACTCGGGATCAACAGAGTCGTAAGCGCGCCTTGTCTTCGACGTGCCTGTTTATAAATGCACATAATTTAGCATAAAACCTTCATTCTAATTTCTTATACACCTACCAAGTATTTCATAAGCTTTAGTAATACAAGTAAAATAATCTTCATCAGTGTTTACTTCTTCGCCTTTTGCTTTCCGCTTGTCTGGGTGATGCATTAGCACCATACGTCTGTAAGCACGCCGTATATCGTCGTCTGTAGCATTAAATCTGTAACCAATTACGTGTACACTTTTAGAACACCTGAACAATTATTAAATGAAAACGTGTTTTATTACCTTAATTTACCTAATCCAAGTATTGCATAGTGATCATGATCTTTCCATTCTTTGGGATCTAGGGATTTCAAATAGTCCACATCGACCGCGAATTCTTCAGGTAACTTATCCACCGCATCGTCATTGCTCTCTGCCGCCTCTTCAGTGATAGCGTTGTATCTATTTAAATTGAGAAATGCTAAGCCTACGCGTTCAACATTTCTATGACTAAATGCAAAATCGCAATTAATTTCCACAAATTCCAGCATTTTTCGCCGAGATCAACAATAATTTTGAAAAAATATATAAGCAAATCGACAAGGCATACAGCTGCCTGGTGGAGGGTCGTAATTGTCAAAAAGAACAACCACGAGATGATTGCTATTACCAGATTGTTAGAAAGTAGTTGCCAGTCGATGATAAAATATAAAATAAAAGACCTAGCAACACTCTTGATAAAAATTTAAATACTGTAATTGTAATATATTTGCAATAAAAAAATGTGACGGTTAGTATTACACTAAATATAAATTAGCATTGATATTGAAACATATTTCTCAATAAATTGTCTACTCTGTAATTTACTCTTGAGTTCGATCACTGGGTTGATTAATAAAGTCCCAATTTATTAACATTTACCTTTATTTCTAATTCGAATAACTTAACGCTTTATTACTTATTATCCGAATTAACAACTTGTTACTTATGTCAAAATTGTTCTAAACACGTCATGTGTTGAACACAATGCTCGCGACAGACTGCAAACGACATTTGTCGAATATTAAAATACACACGTTCTTATGGACAGACCTATTTTGACAGCTGCACGACTACACGACTGCAGGCCGACAGTTGTCGTTCTCGCTAACTTCAATATATTCTTATATTTGCCAACGACAGTAGAGTTGACAGTAGAGAGATGAAGAAGAGTGGTAATGCCACTAATATAAAATATATATATATATAAACTGTAATATCACTCAAAGCTCTAACAAACCTGACGTTATTTTACAAATAAAAGCATAAAATAGCTCTATTACATCATTTATAATCACAATTGATAATTTAAAACAAATAAATTTACTTATTTACTTATTTTTTGCTTAAAAAATTTCACTTTGAACGAAATATTAAAATTTCATTGAAGTGCAAGGGATTAGTATGGCCACAACGAAATTGTGTACATGCAAAATGGACAACTGYGTTGTTTTGTGTACATGCCGGCCATTGTTATGTTGCTGCCCTCTCACAAATGTTCATGTAGTAGGATTCACAACGCCATTTTCAATTCACTGTTGTGCTGCTGCAGTCTGTCGCGAGCATTGTGTTCTGCACATCAGTACTCTAACTGGAACTTTGTTTGTTGCACAATCCGGCAGCCGCTATATAGTAGGTGATACACGTTCTCTGTCACAATATGATTTGAAATAATCGGGTTTGCTTTATTTATCTTAAAATTTTATATTTTAAGATTTTTCAACTTTACGTACGTGCCTGTTTTTATATTATATTTCAATTTTTTGCGCACCCAATAATCAATTGAAAGAAAATAATAATAATGCAGTGGCAACACAATTTTAACTGATGGCCACTGTAATCTTGACAGATTTCTTTTCTCTCTCCTTTTTTTTGAGAAAAGCGAAACAAAGTTATAATCCTTCATACATACGTATATGTATTGTATATAAATTGATTCTACTGGTCCATCCACGGTTCTATTTAGTGATAAGTGAAATTATACCTGCCCGAAAGAAATTTTAATTGCAAAATAAATTGAGTATAAAATCAGTGGGAGTGTATAATATAAAGAAATATGTATTGTTTAAACAACGAATGCACAATTTCCTTAACGATTTCCGTTTTGTACTGAGATTTGTTAATGCAACTTCCGCTGTGGGAATACTGTGCTTAAGTACGATATCTCGTGCACTTCTAAAGACATGAGTAATGATGCAGCATAACCGTTAAATTCCAAAATACAGCATTTTTTCTTATTGGTGAGAAAAACTTACAAATGTATGATATATATTGTTGAGTAAATATACCTTTGTATTAAGGTTATACGGTATGACACTAAAAACACTGAATCTACTTTATGGCATCTCAGAGTATGTCCTGCATACATAATTTTGGAAACTAATTAAGTTTTATTTTTATTTGCATGAATCGATTATTAGAAATTAACTCCAATACAAATTGTATACACAAATAGACCAGAGAATTATTTTGCAAATGTTCGCTGTCGAACCTGCACCTTCTCATTGTTTTATGTTCTCTGGATAGACGTTGTCATTAAGAGTGACATGCTGCATGAATGGACTGTTAACATACATAAAAATACGTTTGCCACTCAACAGGGAAGTTGCAATTGTATGAAAATAGGTAATAATAATCTTAATTGAAATAAAACACATAGTGCAAAAAGCTGTTTCCGATAGCTCAATAATAGATATGCCTTTGTGATTCAAATATTTTTTAATACCTTATTCGCTTTTGCCACTAAATAGACTTGTTCTTTCTACAACAGGTGATATACTGTAGCTGCTTGACGAAACTTCCACGAAAAAATGGAGGTCGAGGAGTTGACCGATATATTTTACACCAGCGACAAAAAGGGTCAGGTTTGTCGCGTCAAATTAAATGGTCAGGGATTTACTTTGCAACGCGAAACCACCAATAACCGCTCCAGAGAGCAACTCATCGGATTGGATGATATAGTTGGTAGTCGTTGTATTGTCGTGAAGAAAGATCGACGCGGCTGCTCCATGCTCTGTAGTTCCGCAGCACAAAATGATGGAAATCGAAGCGATAGTGGTGATGATACAAAACGGAAATATAACGCTATTACCTTTCAGCATAACGATGCCAGCGCATATCTATACGTCTTTGCATATATACTAAATAAGAAACACCTACGAAATATCATACGTCGTGAACGTACTGTCTTGAAACTGCGCTTCCGTTCCTTTGATACCTTTGGAGATAATATGCGCGAAGCAGAACGTTGGTATCATACAGTTAGAGCGTTTAAAGGACGCAGTTTGGGCTATAATGACATCGATGAACGACGTATATTGGTTTTATTAAATCCGAAATCTGGTTCTGGTAAGGCACGAGATATTTTCAATCGTCAGGTAGTTCCAGTCTTAAATGAAGCAGAGCAACCGTATGATTTGCATGTAACCAAGCATGCCAATTATGCGCGCGAATTTGTGCGTGTGAAAGTTTTAGATAACTACAGTGGCATTGTGGCAGTTGGTGGCGATGGCCTATT